ATATATATATATATATATATATATATATATATATATATATATATATATATATATATATGTGCACACACACACACACACACACACACAAAATATATGATTCGATACGTAAGAAAGTTGCATGTTTTATTCATATGTTTATAATAGATTTATAATTATACGTATAAAAAGAAAAATCAAACGAAATGCCAGGAATGTTTGAATGACATTGAATGATCGACGTATGACGTGAATTGGAGTTCCATATTCAAATGTCCAAACCACATAATACTAGCCCCATACAAGTATTATTTCTTTAAAATCACGCAAGGGTTACTTGTGTATTCTTCATGATAAATTTTGATCAAAGTTTTCATTTGATTGGTGTAATATAATAATAATTTATAAATAATTTCGTTGCCTCGTATCTCAGAAGCCCAGAGAAGGAAGCCGCTCTTGCCACGATGATATTCTCGCATCTCTATTATCTATTCTAACGAGATTTGCATCTCGCGCGCGATGCAATAATCCTTCATCTCGCGTCACTGTGCGAAAATTTGTGTCGGTAAAAACGGGAAGGTGTTGTAGACATACACGGGTCGATTGAATGCGAAGGAATTCGCAATCGCCAGAGCCGGATTCGAATCGAAATCGCTCTCGGTTTGTTCGCCCGGCACTGTCGTTGGCTCCCTGTTGCGAGGCGTCGTCGTGGTTTTTACGGTGGTCGCGACGGTCCGCGGTCGCTGCGTGGTCGTGGTGGTGAATAACGGGACGCTTTGGGTAGTCGCGGTATCCGGAGGTTCGTAGCTTTGTAATCCCGGGGTTCCGTAATACGCATGCAATCGATTGTTATTGGGATTAAACTGCTGGCCATTAGGACGCCACCCCCTGGGCTTATATCCCGATAAATCTGACGTCGCCGCCAGTCCGATATAAAGGAGAACGAGGATGAGCTGAAAAAAAAGAAAAAAAAAAAAAATACATAGTCGGTTTATAAACCTGCGAGGCGATGCGCGCTCGAGCGGGCCCGCGGAGTTATACCCGTTCATTCGTTCATTCGTTTATCGAGTAGCCGAGCTCATTCGTGGTATATCGAAAATTGCAGTATACGCTCCTATTCGTTTTTTTTCCCCCTTTATTTTATACTCACGACGCGTAATCTTGATTTGTCCTGGAATATATTCGAATCCTGAGCAAACGAAGGAACGAAACATTAGTTCTCATTTAATTAGAACGGAATAGCACTTTGAAGCGTTTCACTCTGACGGACGTTTAATGTCACAAGAATTAAGAAGTCGTAGGAAACGTAACGGTTGGTCGGATTCATGTCTGAGAAAAAAAGTCGAGTTCACAGATATCGTAAATGGAAGTTCGTCGCGAAAAACGAAGAAGTTCGCAGAACGCTCCGTACGAGACAATTAATTATATCGAGCGTCGTATCTCTCGTTCTAACGACGGATTAACACTCTCGCGGACTACACTTCGTGACTGCTACACTTGGCTGCTGCAATTCTCCGGTAATGGTGTGTTGTTCGCACACGCAGTGCTTGTGAACTCATCGGAGTGTCAAATCCGTCGTCGGTGAGAGTCGGTCAGTCTTCTCAATAGAGCGAAGCGCGCACGTTCAATATTTTTTTCTTTTTACAGAGAGAGAGAGAGAGAGAGAGAGAGAGAGAGAGAGAGAGCGAATGGAATATTCTTTTACCGTCTCCCTCATTTTTGTTCGATGTAATCCACTGTTAAGCTCGCACCGAAAAATTTCGGACTGGCCTTTGCCCAAGTGTCCGTTCTGTCTTTATATGCGAAGCGACGTGCGCGGGATCGGGCGCCTAGGCTGTGTGAATACGAAACAAGGCAAAGACGAAAACGATTTCGTTTTGTTGCTCACCGTTTCGTAATACGGCGGACCCATATTACGTGTTAAGAATAGTTTTGTCCGGCGCGAATTGACGCCTGTCGCTATGTTTTAGATGCACGTCGGCTTTGTATCGAGCACGCGGTCCGATCGCTTCCGTTTGACTCGGGGAAACGGAACGAGAGATATAAAAATTGCACCACACGATCGAACGCGATCGTCGGCTCGTGTGTTTCTGTAGTCCCCGTGATCTTCATATTCGAGTTCCCACAATGCTTGTTCTGTAAACAGGCAGTGATAATACGGGTGTAACGTTACCGCAGTAATAGCGGAATACATTTTGCGGTGCGTTTCTGGCGTTGCATAGCAAATTAGCGATTTGGCCGTCGATAAACGTTTCGTTGAAATTAACAAGTGAGTAAAACAGTGAGTAAAATAGTTTTCTGAAACATGAAATATTCAGATTTAAATGTAGAATAAATTATCGCGCTTCTTCTGACTGCGTCTAGAGCGAAGTTGTCCAATATGCGAGCGACCTTCTCGCTGCTTGTCTTCTTTTTGGCGTAAGAAAGTGAGTTTGTCGCTTGTGAGTGCATGTTAAACAGTTCGTATCTAAAGCTCATGAGAGACTGGAATTTAAATTAAGCCGCGCCGCCAAATTGTTTTGGACATTAGCGATCGGGACTGTAAGGACAATAATAAAACGGAGCGCACGCCGTTCATTGCCGTACGCCGAAGCGACACCTTTCATAATCGCCTTTTCGTTATTGGCTATTTTAAACGAGTGGAAACATATCCATGTAATATGTAATAGCAGCTTTTGCAATGTCTTGCGTGAATTAAGGACGTGTACGGAATTTAAGATCGCGTGCGACCGTAATGCATACCCTATGAATTCTCGCGAGTTCGGTAGACGTCGTTCGCTCGCTTGTACGAATATTCGGTCGATGTAATCCAGAAACGTGGTGTGCGAGCTAATCGCCGGATTGACAGTGAAGTTGAGTGACAATGCTAATTAGAATTCTGGCTGTCCTATATTTAGAACTTGCCGACCGTCATCTGCCATCGATCTCACATCGTATAACACCTCGCGATGCGACATTTGTTCGCGAGATTCATTCGCCCGTCAGAAAGTTTTCTGTTCCTGAAATTACCTTATTTGTAGTTATCTTTTTTATTCATCTGATCTTTTATGATTTATCTTAATAAATTACGCTCTAAAGTGCAATCAGCAAGTATTCTTCACTGAAATGTTGTAACTGGCGGTTCAATTACAAAGTGAGTTGAAGCGATAAAGTGGGACTGCTTCCATTGAAAATTAGTGAGTATTCACTGATTATCGGTGAAGTATTCATTTTACTGATTCAATCAGAAACACTTACTGATTCACTTTAAGAGAGAGTAGATACATTTCTTATACAGATTTCTTATACACAGATGATTGTCTTTTTTACTGTGCAAAATTTTAACGACGAACCCTTCGACGAATTTCGAGTCGATTCTTTTCTTTCGCGATTCAATTTTTGTGAAAGGTCAATAGTATTGATTCTCTTCATTTCTTTTTTTGATGAGATAGACGTCTGTGCATAAAAGATGTTTGCTCGCACTTGCCTGTAAACATCTATCAAGTAAAGAAGTGGTTCTATTTGAGAAATCTTTCTGTTGGACTTACTGAACTATGTTCGCTCGAACGAGAAAGATAAATGGAAAAGGCGGCTGCAGTTTGCGCTATCACGCGGTTCGAAATCGAGATAACAACGCTGTCGCAGACAGACGGCACGAGTGTCGGTTTGATCGAAAGCATGCGATATAATAGTCCGCGTCGAGAACTTTTGTCCTTTGATTGAGTATATCAAGTATTCCGGTCGAGTAACAAGTGGTGGACGCGTCCGTCATGTCACGCGTCAAATGCAGCGTATTATGCAGCGTTCATTTCCATGGCTTTGTGTTATCTAAAAACAACGGCGAGGTGTCCTCCCCGTCGATAAAAGTTCCGCGCCGGCACTCGAAATGGCTTCTCCTATTCAACGATGTGCGCGTGGAATCGATACGGCGGAATTTTCGCGTCTCTACGACGAGCTGAATATTTGAGAGTCGTTATCGAGATGAAATTTTTCAGGAAATGTAAAATAAAAGATTAATAAAAATGTAAAGTATATGGGTATTTAGCGGAAAGAGAGAGGGATATAAATGAATAGAAAAGAAAGAGAAAGAGAGAGAGAGAGAGAGAGAGAGAGAGAGAGAGAGAGAGGGGAGAAAAAGAGAGAGAGAGAAAGCGAGAAACAGAAGGAGGGAAAGGGAAAGTGGATTTTAATGGAAAAAGGTATCGTTTTTGATTGCTTTTTCAATGAAAAAAAGTATCTAATATTAAATGATAAATGTAACATTTATTTTTTCATCGCATGCAATTTCGATAGAAGGCTTTTGGACTTTAAACGATTGAAGTTTCAACTTTCATGCAAATATCAGATATCGGGATTTACGTAACGTTTACTGATCTTTTATTTTTATCTACATTTTTTTATATGTATATCGTTTAAAAATGTATTTTGAAATTCTTTATTGAAACAAATTTGTTCCATCAATTTATATTCGAATATTGTTTATATTTTTTATTTTTATATAACGTGATGCGCAGTCAATATTTTTCAAAAATATCACTTTAAAAACAAGATTTAGTCATATTATATATCAAAAAGCTATATAAATTATATAAGTTATTGAAGAGTATAATGCGTTCTATTTTTCTGTCTGAAACTGTCGAATTAAATATTTATCGTATACAATATATAAATTAAAGTCAAAATGCACGTTTTGTGTAAGCTTTAGAAAAATTTCTTAACTATCTAATATTTGAGAAAAAAATATATATAAAGGTTTAAGTTCAATACGAAATTTTTAATGTTTGTTCGTTCCTTTATTTTAAAAACTAGATGGTAAAATCTTTTCTCTACCATATTGCAAAGTTAATCTCGTTGGAGTAATCTCATTCTATTTTACGGTAGAGGCAATATCAATGTACGCCGCGTTACCTGTTGGTAAGAGTTTGTTTTGTGAAAAAATTTAATACATTCATGATTTCGTAAAAAGTGAAGCGTGGCTTTTATTTGGCTTCATGTATAATGGCAGATAAATTTTTTATACAATTGTAGATATATATCGCTTAGATTACACAAGTTTGTGACCAAAGTTGACACGTTATGAAGCCGAGAACATAAATTTAGAATCATGTTTGACAATTTTTTAATATATAACGATGTCAATGTTTGTCAATTAATATGTTGCAAACAAATGTATTTGCATAGAAAACACTTTGGGATTTAATTGGAATCCAGCTCGATTGTCCACAATAATTATAGCTTCTAAGTGAGAAATCTATGTAGGTTCTAGTTAGAAATGTAATGTTTTAAATATGCGAATCTAAGTGGGAAACCTAGACAGATCCCATTTGATTATTTCCAACGTTTTTTCCTGGTTTATATTTTAAATTAAAATTGAGTAAAATATATGAAATTTGCGTATTTACTCGTTACAAGAATGTATATACATACATATACTTATAAATAGTAAATACTCAGCGTTCCAAATATTTTGCCCGAGGAATTCACATAAAAAAAAAATTTTAAATGATACTATATATTTCTATTTTAGAACATAAGAAACTTTAACTTTATATTATTTTACGCTTTAACATGAAATGATGAAACAATGTAAGCCAGATAAATCATTTGTATTGTTTTTATTGCATTAATGAAACCAATACAGAAAACATTTAAAAATGTTTAAGTTTCCTTAATATTTCTATTCTAATTTTAGATAGAGAACTCATGTTTAGGACAAGAATGGGATTCTCAATTGCGTGGTATCGTGATGCGATAATCTATTTTGAGATTTAACTGGTATTTGGGAAAATACTAAAAAATTTATATGCAGGTATTAGTTTTTGGAACACCATCGATGTTGTTTTTATTGATCATCTCGATGAATCCTTCGGATTCGGTCATTTTTTTTGCATCTTGTCGTCTTTGTTCTTTTTTTAGCAAGACATTGAATATAAGACCGAACAGTAAAAATATCTCGAAGCCAATAAAAACCGGTACAATACCATACATCTTTATCAATATTCCACCGATTATAGAGAAAATTATGGTGTATACTTGAACCGTTATATCCATGATTCCCATAGATATATTTTCGGGCTCCGGATAGGTGTATTCAATAGATATTTCAAATCCCAACATCGTATATCCTATCATGAAAAATCTATAATAAACATCAGGAAGATTAAAATGAGATCTAATGTTATTTTTTTAGATATTATATAATAATAGAAATTGTATATAATATACAAAAAGTGAATGGTGTGTTAAGTAAAATGTAATTGAAATTCATGCCGAAAAATAATATGTCTTTTAGATTATAATAATTTTTCTAAAGGATATATGTTGCATAAATGCAATAATATCGATACATTACCCCATTACACACGTTGAGACATATAACATCCATTTCATCTGAAGAATGATAGATATCAGGTATAACATCATAAAAAGAACAATGGATAAGTTTGCAATTATGCTGAGTTCTCTGCAAGTATAAATTTTGCATACGTTAAATCGCTAATTTATGATTTGCGGTGGCTACTTTTAAAGAAAACGCAAGTTGCGAAAAAATAGTAAACGTCTTCCTTACTTATATTTAGGCATTTTATCAAGTATGATACCGATAGTAATGCCACCAATAGCACCGAAAGCACATACACATATGCCAAGTATGCCTGCAATTTGTGCTGCATTCTAGAACGTGAGCATGGTATATCTTTTGATTCCAGATACATATAAAAATGTACGAAAATATTCTCAGATGTTGCTTATATAAATATAAATATTATAATCTCGAGTTTTCTTCTCCCTGCATTTAGTTTGCTTGTATTGAAAATTCATTTGTTTACCTCGAAATACTCGCGGACTGTCATATTGAAGAGTGCACCCGCAGAAGCTAATATGCCTAAAACTACACCGCAGATATTACAGTGCAAGATGAATTTCCTATTTCTGAAGAGTCTCTTTATCGTCTCAATGAATTTGTCATTTCTCTTTCCCCGACTTATTTTTTGCAATGCTCGCGTCTCGGACGGTGGTAGTTTCGGTTCGTGCTGAAATACTGTTGTAAAAACACATTGAGAAGATTAAAACGCGATAATCTCTCCTGGGAAGAAAGAGCGATCTTTAATTAATTAGTTCATTCTCTTGCGGTCGCTTGATGAAAATAAAACATAAATCGAAAAAGAAACTGGTATTAAGTGGATTATCAGTTGTATCGGAAAATCTAGCTAACGTTGAAAATTTGATAGATATTTGAAGAAAAATGAGATCGACACACATTATCGAGTCTTTTCCTTCCTTAGTGAATTAAAAGCTTCGTCATATTGGACGCATTTAGGTAAAATCGTATTTGCACATACGAGATATTCTCTGAACGGCTTTTTAATTAATGTTTATAAAGTATTACATCAGCTTGATAATGCCGTTTTAAATGTGATGTTCAATTCTGAATTACTGTCGTAAGACGTGCATAACATATTATGTCAATGAGTAAATCGTGTGTTAATTTTTATATTAATACATTCAAATACGTGACCACGATTTCAATCGTCTTTGTTACTTTCCATTGTATCAAGAAGTAGATTGTACGCAAGATTACGAAAGAAAGAAATATTATTTATATCAGATTTAAATCTGTCTCAATCACACAACGGATAAGAATCAGATAATCGCAAGTTTAACGAATATGTAGCGTCACTTGTGACGGATTACATACTTACATATGAATACTAGAAGAAATCCAACCGTGTTAAGGATAGCTATAGTCCAAGCTAAATATAATAGATCGTTAGCGATGTCATCTAGACTTTCATGATTTTTCACTATTATGAGCGGAAAGAGAAAACTGCACATTATACCTATGTGGATACTTATATTAGCTATAGACGAAGCGGTCGCCAGTTCGTGAAATGGAAACCATTGTGTTGCTATTTTCCCCGGTATCAGCTTACTTACAGTCTAATCATGATAAAATATAATTATTATCAAGAAACATAAAGCACAAAGGAAATATAAGGAAATAATAAAGAGAAGTGAGTAGCAAGAAAAAAATATTAACCTGCGCGATTGCGACTATCGATTTACCGATGATAATAAGGTAAAACCTGTTGGGATGGACGGAGAAAATCTTTATGAAAGCACCTAACAAACTGAGACCGTTACTTACGATGAGGACCCATCGCAAATCGTATTTATTTATCAAGTATGAAATAGGGATTGCAAGTATTGTGTAAAATATCGGGCATATGGTCGTCACCCACTCAGCTATTAATGGAGACACTCCGTAGTATCTGTAAATAATATACAAAAGGGAAGACACACTGATTCTTTTGATGTGAAAAGGCTCGTAGCAGAAATCCTAAATAATATAGCGATTTTTCTCTATGAATAACGTGGTTTTATGTTTATTATATGATTTTGAAGGGAAATGTCATACCTAGCAACTATATTGCTTATGCTTCCGATTTCTGCCATTTGCGATAAAGATCCTATGCTACAGATAGAAAAAATAGCTAACATTAGCCATCTCCTCTTGTAAACTTTCAATTTTAGGGACCCAATATTAGATAGCTCGTTTTCTTCTGCTATATTTCTTGAGTTTTTTGCAATATATACTTCGCTTGTACTTTCATGCTTGTTGAACGCCATTTTTACTTTTCGGCAAGATATGTTTCATGAGTATTTTTAGAACATTCGGATAATGACGGCATACACAATCTTCTGACTATATTGCTAAAAGTGAACTTTTCGGTTTGGCAGCGAACAGTCTAGAAACTTACTCAATGTTTGCGATATTATTTACGGTATTACACACGGACTGTGTATCACGATACTCAACACATTGTCAAAGATCTTTTCGTTGGAATTACTTTACACTTCAAAATTCTTTATACTATATTCACAAATTGGTGATAATGTGAAGATAGAACACTGTAGATGGGAGATGCGATGAAACGTTACTGCATGATATCGTATAACTTAACATTCTCTTTCATAAGATAGCTTAACTTATCTTCACGAATAAATAGAATAGTTTTATTAGTGGTAATATTTTTCAGAGATTATAGTATGCCTGGTGTATCTCATATACATATTTAGTCACGATTAGATTTTTATCAAATCACAGATTGCGCGAGATCTGTGCGTGCTATACTCGTACGTATATACTCTTTGTTTTTAATAAGATTTTCGGATATAAGTCACATATATAGCATATGTCATACGTACTATACGAAAATATAATTTCATCATTGCATTTTCCCTCTAGTGCCATCAGGTTGAAGATGGCATAATTTTCACGTAAGTCACACGAGAAAATGCATTGGATCTAAACGGGATCGTGTATAAGGAGCGGAATAGGCATTTAAATCACGTGACAATGACATTTTTTTTCGAGCGAACATCACAGAGATAAGATTCACATATTCGTGTAATTTCATTGAGCTTATACACGCACGTACATATGGTAAATTCGCGACTAGCAGTTAATTCTGTTATCGAGATTTAAAGTTTGTAACACTCTCATCGCAGGAATTATTGGTTACGACCTGCACATTAAATCGATTATTCTTCTTCGTATTTCCTCAGGGTGTACCAACAGCAGAGGAATTCTTATTAATGATGTATTAAAATGTCACTGTCCACCTAAAAATAGAGACACCAATTGATTCAGTATTTTTTTTTCGTCTCCATCAATGTCGTTTCTTTGTATGTGTTTATTGTTGTACGAAAGGTTTTTTCCGATACTCCGTGTGTCTTTAAATCATACTTCCCATATTATGTTATGTTTACTTTCGATAACATTCATTATCGATTAGATGTCGATAATTACATAATAATTAATATCACTTAATCAGCGGTGATATTATACATTATATTATATTACACTATAATTACAGCAGGAAATTTAAAACGCGAGATTATATTTGCGACGCGTATACGTATTCCATACTTTGGCACATGAGGTATGTGTAGATACCATATCAATTCAGGTAGAAAATTGCCCCATGGGGAGTTAATTAGCGTCAGAGTTAAAACATTACGCACGATGGTTACGAACTGCGGCCTATTACAACGGCTTAATTGTAACATAATACGTATTTCGCTTGGGAGTTTGTTATCACGCGTGCGCGCGCGAGGCAGAGAGAGAGAGAGGGAAAGAGAGAATTGCGAGAATATCGCAATACTCACTTTCTATCGAGACACGTATGCTCTCCTATAAAAAGGTATGGAATATATCTTATTTCGTGCACGAGAAGCAAGCAACTAAATTGAACTTTATGCATTGCACAACGCGGGGCATCGAGCGATATCGGCTCCTCCCCACAGGTTCCTGTGAGGATAGATGCGCGAATAACACGCAATATGTTTTCTATTGACGTGAGAATTTTCACACGTCAGAATTTTTGTGATGGCGTAGAATCCAATATGACATATTTTTCCAACGCGGTGATTCAGATATGAAACTGTGAGTATTGTCGTGGTTGGAGTTTAATAGTTAAAGATGTAAAATTCGCGCAAAATTTCTTTCTCATAGTCGTCATATATCTCAATCTAGATTTATACACAGGTGGAATGAATATTCCAATATAATTTCTATGCGCGAGCAGGAAAAGAGGTAATCTTACGAGTTAAGCTACATATGCGATTTACTTTAGAATGAAATAAACAATAGAATGATATTCGCGCGAGGCAATATTAAAATGCGATTTTCTATGCGAGGAATACCATAAATAAATCACGGATATTATTTGTTTGAACAATTATAAATATCGGTATTAAATCATGAAAAATATTAACACGTTAACGTTTATTTTTATCATGAAATAAACTTCGACCTCTCTCTCTCTCTCTCTTTCTCTCTCTCTTTCTGTCTCGCGCTCGCGCGCGCGTGCGCTCGTTCGGCTCTTTTCGTATAATTTCACATAATTTCACGCGATATTTTCTCCTATGTACGTAACATCTCGTTGACTCCCTGGGGTAATGAGAAGTGATCGTAATACTTTGCATATATCAGAATTTTATTGGACGTTACACGTTAACAATAAAGGCGACGCAAATGTAATCCTCTCTTAATCTTACGTAAATCTACGTTTTATTACAAAATTAAACATCTCTAATGTAACTTCTTCGTTCATTAATTTCTTTTCGATTCTTTTAAATGCATTTATTAATATTTTAGTACTCGCCGTACAACGACGCGTATCAAAGAAACGGCTAAATCCGAAGGAAACGTCATACGTAGAAACATACATTCTCATTGTAAAAATATGTGATTCGTGCTCATTGCTTCCGTGTATAATTGGGTACTTCGCGTACATTTCTTTCTGTTTTTCAAAGAACTTTTTATCGCGTTACTTTTATACTTCTTGCTTTTATAAATTATCCAATTATTTGTCTTCGACGGGAGCCTCCGTAAATATATTATAAATAATCGATCGCTGTTTTGTCATTGAATTCAAGGAAATGATCGTCTGGAGCTTCATAAATGTTCCGTTAAATCTATACACATACTCTAACGGTTATTCAATTCTTATTAATGTATACAGTTTAATGTCTTACAGTTCTTGAACGCTTGAACGGAGACCGCAATTCGCGACACTAATCCGATATTAACGTAATAACGTACATATGCATACAGTGCGCGTTACAAACTATTCAATTCACCGAGCAACAGTTCATAGGGCGATGTCCCGAATATAAAAAATGGTGAAAAATCACTTTACACTCTTAGCATAAGTTATTATTACACAGACACGTTTATACAAGTTTATGTGTACGTTAGGTGGCTAGTTCGAATACATGTATATGTCGTCGATCGAACGATTTTTGCGACGTTTGGATTAGATCCGAAACCTTTCAAAATTCTCTCATCCTACGCGTTAGAGAGAGGACTAGTTTTATACATTGTTTTACACACATATTGACGAGACTAAAATATCTCTTGGGATTTACGGTTCCACGGAAGCATCGGGAGTACTAATAAGTATTAATAATTAGTCAATCCAGGCCACGCGTTATGCTAACAAGTAATTGCTCGTGTTGTTTAATTGAAGTAGATACGGTAGCAAATATTGCCCTGTGCGATGTGTTTTAGTGAAAAGGGCCAAATCGATATTACGTTTACAAGAGCACAGTCTTTTGTAAAATTGGCAGGCCAATATTGATAATATCGTGCCGATATCGGATAAATTTAGTCAATTTTTTTTTAAACTGCGCGTTCAGTCACGCGTTATTTGCATATTTGACAATGACGGTGTAATATATCATTACAAATATATACGCGATATTTGAATGCGCTGAATGAATATTTTACGCGATTGGACATCGAATGAAAGACATAATAATTCTCATGTTTCATCGTTCATTTAATATACATTCAAACGTTGCAAAGTCTAATTTTCACTTACAGAGATACGTTCATCGCGTATTGCTTCAAAGCACGCGTATATTTCGGAATTAAACCTCACATCTCTAATCCTTTCAAAAACAGTGAGGTTGAAAAAGTTATATCTTTTTAATCGGATGGAATCCGATAAGAGATACACACGGTGAACACATTTTCGTATATTTGATTTCAAAAAATTATTATTTTGTACACGTTTGTACGAACAAGTTGAAGTCATTGATTTAGTACAACCTGTACAACGTGATGCATCGAAGCGCGGAGATTTATCACGTAAGCTTTCAGTGATTTAGATTTTATCGATAAGTTTGAAGTCGAGCTTTTTATTACACAGGAGAAATTTGATGGACGACTATGCTTTTCTATAGTTTTCTAGTGCACAATATTAAAAGAAAAAAAGAATCTCTCTTCTGTTAATCGAAGTTCAAGTTATATGAATTTTTGTTAAAGTAGTTCTTCCTTTTCTTCTTCTTTTTTTTACTATGTACTTTGATAGTACTTTGACAAATTGAATGTATTCTTCTTTTTTTCGGGCTGTGATAAGTTCGTAATTTGGAACTTAGTCACAAGGCTTTATTGTGGGATATTGGAGAACTGCTAAAAAGAATGGTGTCCAATCAAATTTTCACCGCGATAAAATCGATTCTAAATTGGTCAAAGAATCCGTGAGTGAAAGGAGACACTGAGATCCCCAGAGAAACGTGTGGCAATCGGTGTGTATATCAATGAACGGTAACTCGTGGATGGTAGCAAAGGGACGCGATTGAATCGAACGGGATACACTGTGCGGCAAAAGAAAAGCGAAATCCAATGGACCGTGGAGGGACGTTGACGAATAAAAAATACGATAAGACGTATCACCACGTGGAAGCGCGAGCTTCACGCTGTCTAATTTCTCTTTTTCTCTTTTCTTCGTCTGTCTAACACTTCGTTACTGCGTACAACACAAATTATCATTAATTGGAACCAAGTCTTTTTACAAACCGTAATTTTATTACTGTAATTTTATTACAGTGCACCGATAATGCGTCTAATATACATGTTCCTTTTTATCCCGTGTGATTATGTATGTATAAAATTTCTCGAACGTTTTGCAAACGATCGAAAAGAATTAGTTTTTCAAACCAACGTTCGGTGAAACGTATTATCGTAACTGATCATTCACAACCGGTGAACGTGAATATTATTACATAACATTTATAAGGATACATTATTTACAACAAGACTCTCGATGGCTCATGGACTATGTCCGCGATTAGGCGATGGCATTCGGTCTAATCGATCTGTACACCAACAACTGCCCGTCAATCGTGTAACTTACAAATTGACAAACGCATGTAGGAAGATATATCCGAGAGTAATATATCAACAGAATATTATATATTCTAGCGTTGGGAGAGAGGTTATTA